CCTCTCAGTTAATATATTATTCAGTTACCTGATAGAGTAATAATTTTTGTGCTTTCCTAACTGCACAACAGCATGATGCTGCACTGTAAAACAAAACATGAAAACACTTTTTCAGTAGCATGGAAGAAATGTAGTGACTTCTCTAGAGTGTGATTTCTAAGTGTAGAAACAGTGGGCTTCCCTTTTTTGTTACTTGAAAATTTTTCATTTCAGAAAACACTTTGTATTTATGATACATACCACTCTTGGAGAGAACGGTGTGCTGTAATGATTTTAAAACCACTTAATTGAGGTTTCATGGCAGATTGCTCAAAAGCTGTCAAATCTCTATTGATTTTTGCTGGAAATTGAGCAGCCTCTTGTCATCTTTTCCCTTAAAATCTCTCCATCAATAATAAGTGAAAAGAGCAGAGTGCATAGTTTGCTGGATTACTTGAATATTTGCTTTTGTGTCTCACCACCTGCCCAAAACCTGTATTATTCCAGAGCATCCTAGATGTAGTCAACCTGAACTTCTTGTACAAATCCCATGGACTGTAATTGCTGGGCAGACAGACAGGGTATGTGTATGCTCCAACGTGCATACCGTGTGTGATCTGTATACCATTGTCTTGCCTGTCTATGGGATGTGACATCCTTTATATTTCATAGCTTCATTCACAGGCTGCCCTCAAAGCAAGGCTTCAGATAAATGTCATGTTTAAAGATGACTTGTGTGCTGAAGTTGCAGTTAGGGTTGAGCAAGAATAGAGGAGGAGGAAAAAAAAAAGGTGTGGCTGGCCCATTGCTCCATCACTTTGGGTACACAAGGATGGGCCAGTCCTTCCCTATTCCTCTCCCATGTCCCTTTATCCATATAGTATACTTCTTTTTCCATTCTTTACCATGTGTGATGATGAAAAGACTGGACACATTTTTAGTGCACACCAAACCTCTATAAAAGTGTGAACATCTTACATTTATGTTCTTCAAATGACTGTATTTTAAACTGCTTTGTTTGAATTTCAGTATTAACGGATAACATTGGCTATTATATACTTCTGTAAATTTTAACAGGACTAATGTACTAGTAGCTGTGCCAAAAGTGTACTTTTTAGCTTTTTATGATGATGGAAAATCAACGTTATCCATGGTCTATTATTTTTGCATCTTCCAGCAGTCAGATTAGGTCAGGAAACTCGTTTATCTACCTATTACAAAAATAGGTGCAGGTTGGATTTAATGTGCTGAACTTTTGTCACATTCTTAAAATACATACTTGAGTTCCAAAAGGTGCTTCTTGAAGTCAGTATTGAGTCTAGGATACATGAAATAATGAGGGCTGCAGCTTTTTAAAGCATGTGAAAGTAAATCTCATATTTATGTTCTTTTTCCCTTGACATGTCAGAGAAAGTTTAGTTTATTCGTAGATGAAACACAGGTACTTCAAGTTTAATGAGAGAGGAAAAAGATATTGCAACTAAATCTGATATTTATACTTTCTATGAAAAACACAGGCCTGGAAAAATTGCAAATCATGTTGAAAGACACTGTGCCAAAGAGAAACAGTGTGACAAGAGACACTCCTAATAAACCCAGTGTGCTTTTATGTTATGTTCAGTAGCTTTCTACTGAATGAAAATCAAACACCAGAACAGTGGTTAGTTCTCTCATTTAGTGAATCTTTTACATGACTATTTAGTTCATAATTTCAGTGCAATACATTTCAGGGGACTAATGTCTCTTTTAGAAAAGTTTCCAGATGCTCTGTGTCATGCAGAGCTGAACAGCGTATCTTTGTATTTCAGGTGATAATCGCAACTCTTTTGCTTTTAGATAGGCCAGGACCTGCCTAATTCAGTATCACTGCTTGTTCTTGCTTGGAGATCCCTTTGTGTTTCACCGTGGAGCTCATCACTGCTCTCCAAAGGTCTAGCATTAGTGTCCCTGGTCCCAGCACAACCTCTGGCATACATCTGAGCAGTCTAGGAGAACAACAGTTCAAGGAGAGAGCTTAATCTATTATCAGCCCACAGCAGGTGAACAAACTAGAAAAAAAGACACATTTGTTCTTCCAGAAGCTGCAATGTCAGTTTAGAATGGATCAAACACAACAGAAAATAGGTGTGGGAGTGACAATGACAATGTCTAAATGACGGGATCTGGGAGTGATTTCAGCTCCCTTGTCCGGAAGCACATCTTTACTGCTTCTTGACTGTGTATTGTAGCAAGGTTCTGGATACAATAAGTGCTTTGCTCACCCCATAATCTGTATGCATAAGGGAGAAAAGACACACTGGGGACTGGAAAGCAGCTGCAGTACACCCTGGACACATCCCCCAGGGTCAAACCTGAAGGGCTCGCCTGTGACACTGCTTAGACAAAGTCAGTAATGGGGTTGTAGGGTGGCAAAGTGGCCTTGTAGAATGGCACTACTGCCATTTGTTAGTAACACGTGTGCCAGACTTAAATGTTAATAATTAGACAACCATCTCATAAAAATTCTGTCCTTGACATTAGCTGTTTCCCATTGACATATTCTTCAGGTGTTGATGACTGTGTAACTGGAAGATTATAGCCTTTTCCCATGTATCTCTTTAAGAGTTTTTTTCCAGAAGGTCAGTATATCCCAGCTGTTTCTGAGGCGTATGTATTGAAAGAGCAATTCTGCACCCGTTAAGGAGATTGTGGGGTACTCCCTTGGAGCCAGTTAGCTCTCGTGCTCTTTTCTCATCCACACTTTCAAAGCAGTCTCTTGCAATACCATTGTCTTGAACTCTGCAAAGTTCTTACAGAATTTGCCTTCAAGCATTATGTTTTTTGTATTTGAATGCCCACTGACAGCTGGAATGAATTGACTCCCCGATTGTTGCCTCTTCAAGTTTTAATTTGGAGGTGTTGATATAGCAACAAAAACATGAATTTGAAACAAAGTAAAAAACTGAAGGAGGAAGTTCCAGACTGAGTGCATCCTACGGAATTCATTTCTAAGAGTCTCATTTTCTCTGGAGGCCGCCCAGGAGAAGAGGCAGCTGTTTGAGCACTTCATAGCTTACATGACATCGCATTCAGTATGCTTCCACAAATTTGATGATCTACAGATGCTCATGAAAGGTGGAGAATGGCCCAGACAGCACACTGAAAATATTCTCAACTCACTTTTCCTTCTGCTGGCAGAAAACAGTATGGAAAGCCTGGTGGTAGAAGTTACCTTGGAGGGTGGTAGAACAATATTTAAAATATTCCGTTATGTTCTGGACTTAAGATGTAAAGGAGTTGTATGAATTTTACAACACAGATAAATAATTATGTGGGTAGCAACACTGTCCAGCAAGGTTGCTCTAGGTTGCTCTTTCTGTGTTAAATATTCAGTCAGTGGCAAACTAGAGCCTTGATAATTGCTTCATAATCAAAGTTGGAGCTAGCATGTTCTGACTGTGATTTTGATCTCATTCTCTTTAATGTCCTTATTGGATATACCTATCACTTTGTCATTTAGCTTCCTCTCCAGATAGCAACTTGTCTGGTCAAAATTAAATACATAAGTTGTCCAGTACATCAGCTGGAAAAATAGAAGACCTCTTCCCTTTCTTGAATAAGTGTTCTAAAACATTATTACAGCAGCTGTGACATGTTCTCTGTATTCTGTGGATTTTTTCAATTATTTTCAAAGAAAGTGTGTATATGAGGTTGGTCTTTTAATCATTTAGATCTTCACTTTAAAAACACTTTGTCAGGCCCTGTGAACTTGGGTTGACTGTTGTGATATCAGAACTAGCCTGTTTAATTGAGAATAAGGAAAAATATGTTTATTCAGACATGCGTGTTTGTATCTGACACCTAAATTCACATCTGAAGAGGAGATTATAAGGACTAGAATTTGGAAGGGATAAAAATGGATGAGGTACAGGACTGAGAAACACATACAAGGTCTTTAATCATCGGAGCGTTTCAGAACACAGCATAGTCAAGCATGAATTCTTACTGTCTGGAGTAATTTTAATAGTGCTGATTTTGATGCCATTCATTGTCTAAATATTGCCACAGTAAATGGAAAAACGCCACAGGCTGCCTGAAAAGCCTGCTATGATGACAGTTATACAAATAAGAAGGCAAATGCACAGGGAGTGTGAGGAGTAGGAGAAAGGAGATGTTCAAATTAGACAGAATATGTACCTAATTTCTTCAGAACTAATAAGTGAACACCTTATAATCGTGTTTTTAATTTCTTCTTCCAGAACCTGGATGCTTTGCATGACCACCTTGCTACTATTTACCCGGGTATGCGAGCCCCTTCCTTTAGATGCACTGATGCAGAGAAGGGGAAGGGACTCATTCTGCATTACTATTCGGAAAGAGAAGGTCTCCAGGATATTGTCATTGGAATAATCAAAACAGTAGCTCAACAGATCCACGGTACAGAAATAGATATGAAGGTAATGTCTGAAGGGATGCACACATTGGAAGTTAATGTCGTTAGGAAAAAAACAGGAAAATCAAAAGTGAAGTGATGGCAAACAACCATTTTAATTGTTGCTGTCCTCTGTGAAGCAGTGGTATCAGTACTGACTCAGGAAGAACCGTCATCATTTGTGTTGCTTTAAGGACAGGTCAGCCATGTGCTGCAAAGGCCAGTGCTAATTTACAAACAAATCCAATTGAGAAGAGTTCAGAACAATATCCCTTTATTCAAAGAAGGAGATGACGTACAGAAATTAGGTACTGGGTTCTTTTGTGTGTTTTTTTCCACTTTATTTTATATTTGGCATATATTTTTTACTGTCTACTGTGTTCTGTGAGAACATGGATGTTTTGTCACTGTGTCCTAGGTTCTTCATCTGTGTGCAAACTGTGAGGCTGATGTGCGTTGATGAGGCCTGGCTGGCAAGCAGTGTTTTCTTCCCAGCCTGCATGCCAGGTCCTTCCCAGAACTAAGATATGTTTGTGGGTCTCATACTGCCTACCATTGTATGGGAGCGTGGCTGGATATACACCTACAGCCTCAGAAGGGGAAAAATGTTCCCCAGTCACAGAATTTACATAACATCATGTGTACTAAGTCACTTGTGAAGTGGGAAAGAGGCTTCTGCTTTGTGTCTGTACAAAGCAACAAACGATTTAACTGATCAGGCCTTGCATATGTAATGGTATAAAATCAGAGCTTGATCCAAGGTGCAAGTATGTCTGGGGAAAAATAGCAAATAAAAGACTTGTGTTAGAAATATTGCAACTTACATAAAATATTTTTCATCAAGTACAAAAGAATCTAAGCAGGTACACCCAGCATTCTTTTTTTTTTTTTTTAACTATTCCCTAATTATATTACATTTCTAGCACAGTTTCATTGTATACTTGCTCAGAAAATCAGTTCCAGTTTCATGAGGTGTATCACAAAAACGTGATCTTGCTCAGATAAGAGCTTTACAAGGAACCCAATGACAAAGGCATTTGTACTGCTATATTGGAGTATTTGCCTTGTAGGTTTCTTGTTATAAGCTAGCTCAGGTTTATAGTGAATGTCTAATTCTGTGTAGCGTTGGTGATATACTTGATGTCCTTGTTTAGATTCTGCTTTGTAGAAATCCATGGTTCAAACTTTTACAGCAGGTGTTAGCAATTGGATACGGAAGGTGCAATGGAATCAAAACAATCCTCTTCTTATTTCCCTGTTTATTCATGTTGAGACAGAGAAGGAGGACCATGCTGGAAAGTTGGCTGCAAGAGTGCTGAAGCTGTTCCTTGACGAGCATTTCTTTTAGTAGCGCAGGCAGCTTATGTAGTTCCCCTTCTCTAGCTGCTCAGACTTGTCCTGCGATGGCCACTTCAGCTGTGTCTCTGCAGCTATTGTGGAGCTATAAAATAAGCTAGACTGAGGAAATGAACTGGGTTCAAAATAACAGGGTTTTTTTTTCTGGGTTATTTTTACCCACATCTGTTCCTTTATGTGGTTTGGTATTCTGTCTATCAGAGTTCTGCCTGCATAGTCGAGGGGTCTTGCGGAGACGGACATGATCAGTGGGGGCAGAGGAGAAATCGGGGTTGTGCAAAGCAGCTACCAGAACAAACTTGACAAACTGTGTCCTCAATCTGAATGTTACTTTCCTGAGAAGTACTGATATGTATCTAGGGCTTCTCACAGCTGTTATATGTTCCAAAGAGGTTTAAATCTTGATGCTAAATTTGCTTCTCATTTTCATTTGACCTTGTGAGGCTTTTCTGGAAGTTTTATTGTTGTACTGTATTGAATAGAAATTCAGTAGTATTGGTCAAACCTGTTGTAAGTGAGCACAGACTTTGATTTAAATCCAAACTCTTCTTCCAGACTGTCTGACCAAAAGCACATAAGTGCCTGAAAATTTGGATTACCTCTAAACTGACAGAAGTGTGTATTGTATGTTATTTTGTCTGTTACCCTGTTTTTTCCCTTGTCCCTGTTAGAGAGTCACGTACCTTCAACCCTGACCTTTTTCTTGTCTCTGCTGGTTAATAAAGCCTAGCTTTTGACACCTTTAGTAACATTAAGTAGTGCTTGACTCCACTAGTACTCAAAAACTTCAGTGGTAGATAAGCAGAGAATAACCAGCTACTTGTTTCTGTAAGGTGAGGGTGCCAAAATTTGCAACGTATCCACACGGACAATGAAAGTCTCCCTCCATTACTCAATAGGTCCCACTATTAATCATTAGTGGTTCAGGGTGAGGGTTTTAAAGCAGAGTACGTCTGCCATTGTAGTACCTGAATAGTTTTACACCATTCAAAAGAATAAGAACAGGGAAAAAAAAAATTGACTGACTTCTTTCATCTCAATCCCTTGCCTCATAATGTAGTAAATTAATGCTTTTGTGTTTCAGACTGTTAGTAATGCATTGTTTGAAATAGCACAGCACAGAAAAACAATGGAGTTGCTTTTCATCCCCTCAGTTTTTGTAGACCAATCAATGCCTCTTCTGTAAAATTTTAGTTTGGACTTTAGTTAGAATTTTGCTTAAGGAAGATTTTTTTTTTTTTTTTTGGAACTGAGTGCCTAGCCCTAAGTTATGGGAGTTGCCCTCCAACTTGCAAGAATAGAGCTGAGTTGTCCTTCCGGATCTCTTTATCTGATGCATATACGTAACAATTCAACACAAGACTGGTTTAGTAAGTTCTGCAGTTCTCTTTATATTAGTATAAAGTTGGTATCTGCAATTTGATGTTTAATACTTTATTATCCACTTTTCTTCTTTGGCTGCTTAGAACAAATGCTTACTTAAATCTGCCTGAGACAGTGCATGCTTGTAAGCCTGTATTTTCATGAAATTTTGCTTGAATTTGTCTTGCATATTACCAGTTTCTGTGAAGCTGTGCACAGATCTTAATTGTTTACAATAATACTGATTTTATTTCGTTAAATTATTAGATTTTGTTTCATGGGTTACACAAAATCACAGAATGGCAGAGGTTGTAAAGGACTTCTGGAGGTCATTTTATCCAACCCCCTCTGCTCAAGCAGGGCCACCTATAGCCAGTTGCTCCAGGCCATGTTCAGACAGCTTTCATCTCTAGGGATGGAGACTCTGCAAAGTTTTTGGACAACCGGTGCCAACACTCAGTCCCCCTCACAGTAGAAGAGTATTTCCTGTTTAAGACAGAACCTCCTGTGTTTCATGTTGTGCCCATTGCCTCTTGTCCTGGCACCGGACACCACTGAAAAGAGCCTGGCTTCGTCCTCTGGGCACCATCCCTTCAGGTAGTTGTACACATTGATAAGATCCTCCTGAGCCTTCTCTTCTCCGGGCTGAACAGTCCCAGCTTTCTGAGCCTTTTCGCTTATGAGAGATACTTTAATCATCTTAGTGGCCTTTCACTGGACTCTCTGTTGTACTGAGGAGCCCACAGCTGGACACAGCACTCCAGGTGTGGACTCTCCAGTGCTGAGTAGATCACCTCCCTCAACCTGAAGAGAAAGCCTAAGCAATCTCATGATCATAAGAGGAAAAATAAATACAGAGAAAAGCACATTGTGCTTGTTTTGTCACAGGTTGTTTTTTTAGGTGGAGAAATAGCTAAATAGAGAAAAAAAGTTTTAGGTGGAGAAATAGCTAAATAGAGAAGAAAAGTTTAATTTTATCACCTTTCTGCAGTTTCACACAGAAGTATTTTGTATATATATACATATATATATATATATGCACATGTTCTTCTGAAATACAGTAGGGCTTCCTTTTTCCAGAATGGTGTCCTGCAGGAAATGTGCCTTTTCTTTTAACACCTAGGGTATGTGTGTGCTGAAGTGTCCTGGGTCCAGCTGGGATAGGGTTAATTCTTCACAGAAGCTGGGAGTTGGGCATAGCCGGATATTCGATACCATGCTGACGTCATGCCCGGG